GTTCTTTGTTGTTTGCTCGTCTGTGGGCACGATACTTTTTGCCTCCTTCTCCAATTGGCAGGGTCAGTCACTCAGATATGGTGCAGCAGGGCAGGTCTAGCTGAAGAGGAGTTGCTGGGATGGGTTGTTCGTGGCACTTACTACAGCCACCAGGGCGGTTCGGTAAATGTGCAGGGCAGATTCCGGTAGGGCGTGCCTGTGCTGCTTAGTGGTGTGATGTTAAGCACACGGTGCAGGTAGGCAGGATGGAGGGGGGAGATTGTGATGTGTGGAGAAGTTGTTGTGTCTCCTTCTGGAAGCTCCATGAAGCTGCTTTCTCGTACCCGCCATTTGCTGGTCTTTGATAGGAATCCAAGATGGCAGATCCGTGCTGCAGTAGCTGATAGGGGACCTCTGCATGAACCTCTCCTTGCTCTCTGTTCTCTGTCAGTTTTCTCACTCCATTTGGTGCTTAGCTGAGTTGTTTATCTCTTCACTGGATGTTTTAGGGTTTCAGGATTGCTGTTTTCTCTGTTTGGCTTAGTTGTTTGGATCTTTTCTGTGGAGGGACGGTGTCATGCTTAGCGCCATGTTGCCAAGTCTTCCAGACTCTTTTGATGTTGCAGTCATGTTAATCAAATTCTTTTTGCTCACACATTCAGCATTTGTGTATTTATGAATTATAATCACATATGTACTAACAACTTATTGCATTATAAAATATACAAAATAGAAATAAGAATGAGAAAAGTAAACATGATTAGAAATTCTGGTATTTCCATTTTAGACTCTAGGAGATCACCTTATACTGTCCCCCCGCCCCACTTTTGAGACAGCTGGTTTAGAAAGACGGAGAGGAACACAGAAGAGGAAGCGCATAGTGCTTTTTTTAAAAGTAAATTTTATTGTGGTGAAATATATAACAAAACATTTTTCATTTCAACCATTTTTACATATGTAATTCAGTGATAATATGTTCACCATGCTGTGCAACCATCACCATTCTCTTATTTCCGAATTTTTTCAGCACCCTTAACAGAAACTCAATAACCCTTAAGCAATACCTTCCTATTTTCCCCTCCCTCCTGCTAAATTGGCTAACCACTAATAAACTTTGGTTTCTGTGCATTTGCCTATTGTACATAATTCATATAAGTGGCATCATATGATATTTGCCCTTTTGTGTCTAATTTTTTTTGCTCAGCGTAATGTTTTTCAAGGTTTATTCATGTTGTAGCATATATCAGTACTTTATCTTTCTTTATGGTTGAATAATATTGCATTGTATGGATAAACCACATTTTGTTTATCCATTCACCTGTTGA